GGGCAACAGAGTATATAAATTATAAAGGATACTAAACTGAAAAATTACAAACCTCCCAGAAGAGAAAGGTCACTTACTTTATTACAGCCATCAGGATAACTTATTTTATTAAAGTACTAAGAAAAATGATGTAGGGGCTCAGCTCCTGGAGCTGAGCAGTTAGGGTGCCAGCTACATACACCAGGGCTGGCGGTCCAAACCCAACCTGGGCCTGCCAAACAACAATGACAACTACAACAACAACAAAAAATAGTCAGGTGTTGTGGCAGGCACCTGCAGTTCCAGCTACTTGGGAGGCTACAGCAAGAGAATTGCTTAAACCCAAGAGTTTGAGGTTGCTGTGAGCTGAGATGCCATAGCACTGTACCAAGGGTGACATAGTGAGACTCTGTCTCAAAAAAGGAAAGAAAAAGATGTAGGAAATTTTTTGGTTTAAATTTAAAAGTACAATAGAAAAAAGAAGAAAATTATTATTTGTAATAGAAAGAAATTTTACAAAGATTTTTAATATACTATAAAAACTACCTGAAACCAGCTAAAACTCTACTACCAGTACTTTATTGGAAATGGAATTTAGTCTTTTTTGTCCATAATTAATAACTAGGTAGGGCATGGTAGCTCAACTAATACTTTGGGAGGCCAAGGCAGGAGGATTCTCTGAGGCCAGGACTTTGAGACCAGCCTGGGCAACAAAACAATATCCCATCTCTGTAAGATATAATTAGCTGGGCATGGTGGTGTGTGTCTGTAGTCCTAGCTACTCAAGAGGGTGAAGTGGGAAGATCCCTAGAGCCCAGAGTTCAGGGTTACAGTGAGCTGTAATTGTACCACTGTACTCCAGCCTAGAGCAACAGAGCAAAATCCCATTCAAAATAAATAAACAACAACAACAACAACAACAAAAAAAAAACCTAAACTTGATTTACTATAAATTTACTGACCCTAAAATTCTAACAGTAAATAACTTTTGCATCTGAAACTCTAGGCTTAATCTCATAAAAGTCACCTGTTTTTTTTTTTTTTTTTTTTTTTGAGATAGTCTCACTATATCACCCTGGGTAGAGTAATGTGGCATCACAGCTCACAGCAACCTCAAACTCTTGGGCTTAACCAATTCTCTTGCCTCAGCCTCCCTAAGTAGCTGAGATTACAGGTGCCCACCACAATACCCAGCTATTTTTTGTTGCAGTTGTCATTGTTGCTTAGCTGGACTGGGCTGGGTTCAAACCCTCCAGCTTTGGTGTTTGTGGCTGGCACCTTAACCACTGTGCTACGGGTGCCGAGCCTCACGTCAGCCATCTTAATATGAAGATCTAATTCAGTTCTTTGTGTGACAGATCCTTCACATTCACAAATTTAAAATTCAAAGTTTTAATTAACCATAATTACTCAAAGATAATCTATAATTTTGCTGAGAACTTGAATAGCCTTCATTAGTACACAGAAGCAATTCAGTCATTAAATGCATGAGACTAGCCAATCATCCTACATCCAATTCAGTATCGATACTCCCTACTCACTGTCACATAAAAGGTAGTTAATGCTCATCCAGAACCACATAGACTCTTTAGTTAGACCTCCTTATTTTATGGAAGAAATTATATCATACAAAGGTATTTTCAAATTTGGCAATTTGCCCAAGTCTTGAAATAAATTTCCCTTTTTCCTTTTTTTTTGAGATGGAGACTCACTTTGTTACCCTGGGTAGAGTGCCATGGCATCAGAGCTCACAGCAATCGGCATCATCGCTCACAGCAATCTCAAACTCTTGCGCTCATGAGATCCTCTTGCCTCAACCTTCCAAGTAGCTGGGAGGACTACAGGCTCCTGCCACAACACCCAGCTGTTTTTTAGAGACAAAGCTTCACTCTTGCTCAGGCTGGTCTCTAACTCCTGAGCTCAACCAATCTACCCACTTCAGCCTCCCAGAGTACTAGGATGACAGGCGTGAGCCACCAAGCACATCCTATAAATTTCCTTCTAAATGTCAAGAAGCCATTGTATGAACATCATATAAAAAAAGTCCTTATCAGGGCAGCGCCTGTGGCTCCATGAGTAGGGCACAGGTCCCATATACCGAGGGTGGCGGGTTCGAACCTGGCCCCAGCCAAACTGTAACAACAAAAAAAATAGTTGGGGCTCAGTGCCTGTGGCTCAAGTGGCTAAGGCACCAGCCACATACACCTAAGGTGGCGGGTTCAAATCCAGCCCAGGCCCGCCAAATAACAATGATAGCTGCAACCAAAAGAAAAAAAATAGCCAGGTGTTGTGGCAGGCGCCTGTGGTCCCAGCTACTTGGGAGGCAGAGGCAGGAGACTGGCTTGAGCCCAGGAGTTGGAGGTTGCTGTGAGCTGTGATGCCACAGCACTCTACCCAGGGAGACAGCCTGAGGCTGTGGTCTCAAAAAAAAAAAAAAATAGCTGGGCATTGTGTTGAGTGCCCAAGCCCAAGAGTTGTAGATTGCTGTGAGCTGTGATGTCACAGCACTCTACCTACCAAAAGGCAACAAAGTAAGACTGTCTCTAAAAAAAAAAAAGTCCTCATCATAGAGAATGCAGAATAAACATAAATGAAAGAAAATAGTACTCAGAGATATTAAAGAAAGAAATCCTTTTTTAGTTTTTTTTTTTTTGAGACAGAGTCTCATTATGTCACCCTCGGTAGAGTACTGTGATGTTACATAAAATAGTACAGCTATTTTTTGAGACGAGGTCTTGCTCTGGCTCAGGCTGGTCTAGAAGAGAAAGAAATCCTTTCACACAGGCTTTTTAAATATCCTTTCAGCCTTTGAAAAGAAAACATTTATCAAATTAAAATATATGGGCAGCACCTGTGACTCAGTGGGTAAGGCGCCAGTCACATATACGGAGGGTGGTGTATTTCAACCCAGACCCAGCCAAATTGCAACAAAAAATAGCCAGGCGCTGTGGCAAGTGCCTGCAGTCCCAGCTACTTGGGAGGCTAAGGCAAGAGAATTGCCTAAACTGAGGTAGCTGGAGGTTGCTGTGAGCTGTGACACCACAGCACTCTACCAAGGGCAATAAAGTGAGACTCTGTCTCTTAAAAAAAAAAGAAATATAACAGAAGAGGATGCAACCTGCCTGACTTCTTGCCTCTGTCTACTTTTCTATATGCAGACATCAAACCATGCATCCTGAAGCTGTAGTTAAAAGAAATGCACCTTGTTCATAATTGCCAACAGTTCACTAAGCACAAGACGCAATCGGCGAGGTGAATCGCTATGTTCAAACTCTAATGTCAGTCCGTGCTGAAGCTGTGATACTAGGATGCTCTCTCCACTTCCTCCTCCAAGTTTATGCCTAATGAAGTAAAACATGTAAAAACAGGAGTTATAAGGAAACTGGTATGGAAATAACTGCATAAAAATTATCTTTTACTGAAATAATCTACAAAAGAAAGGTATACATTCTAAATGTTCTCTACAATTTCTGAAATACTATTTAGTTTTCCTATTTTGGCAATGTGTACCCTTTGTATGCTAACACATCTGAGAGCCAACACCCACTTCCATTAATAACACTGGCTTACTATTAGATTTCTAACGGGTAGTGAAGCACATTAACATCTGCCCAGAATCTCTGGGAATCAATGTGAAATTAAAAAGCTTCCCAACTGATTCCAAGAAATCCCTCTAACCTAGGGGCAATTACCCTACCCACCTTCCACTGAGAGTAACTGGCCTGATTAGTTCAGCCCAAATTTAACAGTACATGGTCAAACTTCTCTAGACATGTTATAATACAGAATTCAAAAGATTCTAGAACTTTAACCATAAATAGAAAAGATTTAAGTAATATCTTGTCTGGGGGAGTTCTGAAAACTCAGAAAAACCTCTGATTCCCTACTCTTTGACAAATCCAAGTAAATTCCAATCCACATAGTACATAACATGGCATTACCTAAGCTGCTGTTCTTTGTTGGCATCCTGTTCCAAAGCATGAAAGTCCACAGACAACAATGCAACAATGGAGTTGACAGCTTCCACTCCAGAGAGAAGGCGAAGGATCAGTTTTTTATCCTGAGCCCAGCTTTGGCTCTGGTCAGCAGGAGCACAAAGTGCCATCCGTACCAAGCATGGCAGGAGAAGTCTCAATTCTGGATCACTTAAAGACGCCAGGCGAACAACATCCACCTTCTGCATTGCCTCGAAAGCAAAAGGGCTGACAAACTGAAGGCTTGTACACTCAGTCATCATCGCTATTGATCCTAATGGTAAAAACACAAATGAAAGTTAGGGTATACAGGAGGTACCTGTGGCTCAGTGGGTAGGGTGCTGGCCCCATATGCCAAAGGTGGCGGGTTCGAACCCAACCCTGGCCAAAACTGCAACAAAGAATAGCCAGGCGTTGTAGCAGGGGCCTGTAGTTCCAGCTACTCCAGAGACTGAGGCAAGAGAATCACTTAAGCTGAGGAGTTGGAGGTTGCTGTGAGCTGTGATGCCACAGCACTCTACCAAGGGCAATAAAGTGAGACTCTGTCTCTAAAAAAAAAAAAAATGAAAGTAAGTTAGGGTATAGGCTTGGTGCCTGTTGCTCAGTGGTTAGGACACTGGCCATACATGCCAGAGCTGGTGGGTTCAAATCTGGCCTGGGCCTACCAAACAACAATGACAACAACAATAACAACAAAAGAATAGCCAGGCATCATGGCAGGCGCCTGTAGTCCCAGCTACTTGGGAGGCTGAGGCAGGAGACTCGCTTGAGCCCAGGAGTTGGAGGTTGCTGTGAGCGTGATGCCATGGCACTCTACCCAGGGGGATAGCTTGAGGCTCTGTCTCAAAAAAAAGAAAGAAAGAAAGTTAGGGGTATAACTGCCATATTACCATCCTTCTTTTTTTTTTTTTTTTTTAGACAGAGTGTCACTCTCCCCACATTGCCATGATATAATAGCTCACAGCAACCTCCAACACTTGGGCTCAAGTGATTCTGTTGCCTTAGCCTCCCAAGTAGCTGGGACTGCAGGCATGGCCACAACCCCCAGCTATTTTTAGAGACAGGGTCTGGCTCTTGCTCAGGCTGTGAACCTGTGAGCCCAGGGCAACCCACCCACCTCAGCCTCCCACTCGGCCTCCCAGAGTGCTAGGATTACAGGCGTGCATCACCTCATCCCTCTTATCTAAAAAACACTGAAAAATAGGTTAGTAATATTCCCAGCACGATTAAAGACAAGTCTTCTCTGTGTCTCTGTTTCCACTGCCTTTTGAAAACTGAGAAAGTAGAGTAATCTCTTCCAGCCTCAGGAATCTTCTGCTCTAACACTCTTATTTAACAAAGAAGCCCAAAGACACGAAGCAGCAAGCTCAAAGTAATATTGCTAGTTAGTGGCACAATCCAAGGCTGAATCTTCATTTATTAAATTCCAGTCCCAGTCTTTCTCCACTATACTAGCCATTTGAGCTCCACAAAATGTGAATAACAGTAAATGAATGGTCACCAGTTAAGAAGGCTCCTCTTCCATATCCCTTTAATTTCACATGCCTACCCAACACACGTAAAGAAGCACGGGGCTTCTTTTCCCCACCCTCCATGAGTCGGTGGAAATACTGGTAAATCACCTCACTGGGCAGAAGCAGTCAGCTACCACGCTCTGGGGGCCACAGCACTATCCAATGTCCTGTGATAGTGGGTAAAAAGAAGATGTCTAGGTGCTACGGGAAGAGAGAAAGTAAAGTCCCACTTGGGCACTTCTCTACCTTGAGAAGTAATCAAAGTTACAAAAAAGCAAACAAACAAAAAGGCAGTGAACAGGTAGCCAAAACCATCCTCTCTGAAGACCGAATGACTAGCAGAACCGTGGGTAAGAGCTGTGGGCAGATACTCTGTTTTCAAGCAGGAGGAGCTGGTCTTTTAACAGAGGGGCGGGCTGATAGAACAGAAGTGCCAAGACCAGTGAGCTCATACGTCTCGCCCTGGGCGTAACAACAGCCAACAGGTCCCTCAGGCTGAGAAAGTCCTGCGGGTTGCCAACCCGGACGCGCTGGGGTCTAAGAGGCGAACGCGTCGTACCTTACGATCTACCCCCTTACGGGACCCCAACCGGACTCGGCGTCCTAGAGGCGGGACGCAGCAGAAATGGAGAGCGCGGCCCGAAGTTGGGCCTAGGCGATAATCCGGATCCCCAAACCCGAGCTGTGCCCTGAGTTGACTCGGGCACAAGAAGTCAGACGCCAGGACCAACCGGGTTGTCGATACGAGGGGGGCAAGATGGGCAACCCGCACAAAGGCAGAACCGGACTGAAGGGAGGGGAAAAGCGGAAGCGACCTTTTCAACCTGCACCCAGCGCCTTCATTCATCCCCAGCGTCTGACTCCCGCCGGCCACCGTACTGGACTGAGCGAGGCTAGCAGCGAAAGGAAACCCACAGACGTCCGCACTGATACTGCGGTGCGCGTGCGCGGCCCCGCCCCTTCCTCCCGCGTGTTCGTCCCGCCCGATTTCATCTCTGAAAATTTAGAAAGTTGATTCTAGTCTTGTTTACAGAGCCTACCAGCTATGTCCCTTTAGATAAGTCACTAAGCCCCTCAGAGCGTCAGTTTCATCATCACAGGTCTATCACGGCATTCAAATAACGTAACGTATGTAAAGAAAATGTTAAAGATGTCCCCAGTATTCTTGGACACTAGCGGAAGCTGAAGTTCTAGAATCCCAGCATTAGTAGAATTTAAAAACTATCTAATCCACTTGGGACAGAGGCAAGAGAATCGCTTAAGCCCAAGAGGTTGCTGTGAGCTGTGATGCCACCGCACCTACCGGGGGTGACAAAGTGAGACTCTGTCTCAAAAGAAAAAAAAAAGTCTCAAAATCTTCCGCTCCCGACCTCACACACCCACTGGTGAGAGGTTAAGGAGCTTCCCCTTTACAGGGTTCTTAAATTAGGGTTTGTGAATCAGTAGAGGGCCAATAGATGAGAATGCTCAGAAATCTGTTCAAGACTGAGTTCTTGTCAATTCTGGAAAGAGGAGTCTGAAACGTTCAACAACTTCTCAAAAAAAGTCTGATCACGAGAAAAACCGCTAGTTTATACAGGGTGAACATAAATTTCGTGTGCAATTTGTAGTTTCTATTTTAAATTGCACACGAACGTTACTCTGTATCTTCCTACTATTTCTTGTTCTTGGCTCAATCAACATGTATTTGTCACCTTTTGTTTACCATGTATTATGCTAAGAGCGGAAAACAAACATATTTTAGAGGCACAATATTTATGTATGTATTTATTTATTTTGTAGACAGAGTCTCACTTGGTCACTTTCAGGCTGGTCTTGAACGTGTAAACTCAGGCAATCCACTCGCTTCCGCCTTCCAAGTGCTGGGATTACAGACGTAAGCCACCTCGCACCGGCGGAGATAGAGTACTTTAAAGTTTCCAAGGCTTTGACAGATGGATCATCTCTGTAAAAATGAGATTTGGGGCTCGGTGCCTATAGCTCAACCGGCTAAGGCGCCAGCCACGTACACCTAAGGTGGCGGGTTCGAATCCCCAGCCCAGACCCGCCAAACAACAATGATGGCTGCAACCAAAAAATAGCC